CTCCCCCCCCTGCCTCTGCCAGGTCTTTCCAGAAACGCGGTGCCTACTGGCCCCCCTGAGACGGTCGGTGTGTGAAGCCCCGTCCGGGCCCAGGGCTCCCTGAACAGGGACTGTTTTGTTTTGTTTTGTTTAGATTTCATTATTTTTATTGATTTTTTGTTTGAGAGAGAGAAGCATGGATCAGCTGCCTCCCATGTGCACCCTGACTGCATTCATTCATTCATTTGTTCATTCGTTCGTTCATCCATTCGTTCGTTCATTTGTTCATTCGTTCGTCCATCCATTCATTCGTTCATTTGTTCATTCATTCATTTGTTCATTCGTTCGTTCATCCATTCGTTCGTTCATTTGTTCATTAATTTGTTCATTCGTTCGTTCATTCATCCATTTGTTCATTCTTTCGTTCATCCATTCATTCGTTCATTCATTTGTTCATTCACTCATTCATTTGTTCATTCATTCATTCAGCAGATGCCCATTTAGGCCTCCAGTGTGTTTACACGTCATGAACAGCATGGGGTTTGGAGACGGGAAGCTGCAGGCAGGTCATTCACACGGGGTTGGGGAGCGACTCGTAGCCCAGCTCCAGGCTGCTGGGGAGCTGAGTAGGATAGCGGTTGAGGGCCTGGCTGCTGGGGTTCAAATCCTGGCCCCATCCCCTCCTAGCTGGGTGGTCATGGGCACATGGTTTCTCTGGACCTCAGTTTCCTCATCTATAAAATGGGACCCTTGGGAAGATGAAAGGAATCACCTCCTGTAAAGCCCGTAGAATGATACTTGACACGTAACAAGTACAGCCGTGGGTGTCATAAGTGGCCCCCTCTCCTGGCACTTAGAGGATAGAGACCCTGGCCACCTGGGGAAGCTGGGCGGGTCCTCCCACAGGTGAGAGTGTGCGTGGGCCAGGGATCAGGGCATCAGCGGGCTGTGTGATTGCATCTGTTTTGTGGTCCGTCTGCCCACAGCCTGAGTTCCTGAAGCTGAGGTCACAGGACCCAGGTTTCTGGGTCGCAAGGGCCCAGCTTCATGACGTGTGGAGCACACCAGAGGCCTGAATGGGCATCTGCTGAATGAATGAATGAACGAATGAATGAACAAACGAATGAATGAATGAACACATGAATGAATGAATGCAAGAGCTAATGGTGGGGACCAGGCAGTGCCTCCAGAGGCAGCGTGCAGGGGGTGGGAAGAGAGAGAGAGAGACAGGAAGTGTGTGTGTGTGTGTGTGTGTGTGTGTGTGTGTGTGTGTGTGAGAGAGAGAGA